AATAAGCTTGCACCAATTTATGATGGACCATACACTGTGGTGCGAAAGAACAAAGGAGGGTCTTATGAACTGAAAGATGAACAGAATGAGTTGTTGCATAGAAACTACACACCATCTGAATTGAAGATAATAAACATTGATGAGACTAGAATCGAGGATGAATACTTTGAAGTTGAAGATATTCGTGATCATCGAGGTCCAACTGGTAAAAGAGAATATTTGGTGAAATGGGCTGGTTATGGAGAAAGAGCCAACACATGGCAAAAGCCCAGTGACTTTTCAGATCCAACCATTATTCAGAAGTATTGGGATAAACAGGACAAACTGATTAGAGTGGAACATGAGAGAGCTGAGGAAACCATAGAGGAGAGTTCCAAGAAGCTGAAGAAGAGTGATTCCACTACTAGAGTGACACAATCAAGGAAAGATAAGAACAAGAGGCCACCTCCTTCAAGCAATGGCATTGAGAGGAGAGTGTTGAGAAGTAGAACTAAATAAACATCCAAAGGACAATGGTAGAAATAAGAAAACAAGTAATAAAAAATTAATGATCCAGGGTATCGGATTTTCAGATACGAAAAGAAGTCACAAGAGAAGTTGTATTTAAATAGAACTGAGGAGATTGACATGTAAGAGGCTTCTTCCACTATTTACGTATAAATTTAAATTTGCCGAATCAACAAGTATTGTTGAATCTGGTGGAGGATAATGTTGTGGATACTTAAGATAATAGCTCATATAATGATGATGATATAGCACATTGGAAGAGCACAGCTTAAGATCAACCCATTATTCCCATAAGTTCAATTGAATTACTTTATTGAATATTGAATAGTATAGTCTATTGTACATACTATCTATCTGTTGAGCAATGTAGACTTACTTACCTGACATCACATATAAGAATCATTCTCATTGGTCGAAGCATCCACTGCTCTTCCTGCTAGATGAGATTTACTGATGGCTGAGATGGAGATAGATCTCCGAAGAAGACCTACTGTCATTGGATGATTACTTCCCCCACATTGTTGTATTACTAATATAGAAATAGATCTGAGATAAGCTCACAGGAAGATAGAGATGAAGCTGTCAGATACATCACTAGTAGATATTATTGGATAACTTGCCATGTACTCATATCATGAGTCGATTGTTGATCACTTACTTTTACCCGTCCATATTTTAGTATAAATACCCTTACCCATTAGACATTAGAATCGTTATCTTATTTTTCTGATAATAAAGGATATACAAAGTTCTAACAGTATTCCTTTAGTATTACGTTCTTATTAGTTGTTAAAACAGATAGCATATAACTGTGCTGAAATAGTATTACCAATCACTATGTATAATCTTATATATTTAGTCAGCCATCAACAGCTTCCTCGCTATAGAAATACATCCGTGATACAGCAATTTCATTAAACATGACTATCCAGATTATATACAGATAAAAAATTAAAATAAACACCTCAGTAAGTTATTGGAACTTCACAGATTGTTGAATACCATCACTTGGACTTTATCAATCCCAATCAGTTATATATATGATCAGTTCTAAAAGAACAACCCCTTCTGTCTCAGATGAATGATGTACACAGTCCACAACCAAAGTGTCTATCCAATACAAACTCTAGTATGCTCAACGAAGATTCAGAAGATAGCTATCAAGTCGACAAGTAACAGCATGTATACTGATAAGGTGTACCGCGAGTGCCCATTATGATATTGTATGTTCAGGTCAATTATTGGTGTTGCTCAATGGTAATCCATTTCGATCATCGTGTATCAGAGTGTGAAGTCAATATTAGATCTATTATCATTAATCAGTATTTGAAAGATAGACGGGCATAAACAGGTTTTTATCATCCATACCATTAAGTTGTACTGCTATTCAAGGGTGAGAAATTGCATGCCCAGTCTACGTTTTGCTGTTACAGGGTGTGAATCCAGATTAATTATAGTATGCCAAATTACATTATATATCTTTCCATGATCCTCAGACAACACTCAAGAGAGATAGATGAATAACAGGCTATTTTGTATGTGTATACGAAGAATATATATAACACTGGCTCAAATATTGTAAGGCAACAGTAATTTCATATGGTATCCATACCTCTATAGATAACCAGTCTTTATCCACATTCTATGCACATTGATCTTATTTACATCAGTACCATCACTTATCTGCCTTAATAGCCATTACTTACAAGTAAAGTTTAATCGCACCATATTATGTACTGTTATTCCATAGCTGTTTATACTGTTTATCAACAAGTGTATGATAATGCTCTATATCCCAACCTTCGATATACTATGTCAACATATGAGTCAGCAATTAATCGTATTAGATATTCTGTTGTTATTTTAATATACCTCATATAAACAACATACTGTCCTCATTCCACCTGATTCCATCCTGCATCACTGTGTACTTTTTGATCTTTACAGGGTGCACTTGTATTTAGTTGTTCCTACATTAACTGCATTCACACTCTGACTAATTATATCGACGTACTCCATCGTTGTCTATGGTCAGCTCTCCTGATGGGTGAACTGTGATGTTCGACATTCCCAACACTGGCACACTAGAATTATATATGTGTGATTTGGTTTATTTATTGTTTTATCCTCATCTTTTATCTATTTGTTTACCTTGAGTTATTACATATATCCATTTCAACTGTATCTTATCAGTCTAATGAACAACTGCTCTCCATACTCATTCAACACCATCAGACACCACATCACTATGGATATTATCAGCTCATCTGAATATTATTGTTATTGTGTACAGTTCTTACTTTTTGTTTATATTCTCATATTGTTGTCATATTCTGTGTGTGATATACCCTACGTCGAAGTACAGTATATCTGATGACTGTGCATTCCAGGTATACATCCCCATCACAGGCACTAGGTCTATTTGTTACTAGTATATGTTATTGTTCTTCGATTCTTATTGTTGTTTAAATGGTCCCTACTGAAGTGAAAGTGAAAAAGAGGGGATATTCGGAAATTGAAAAAATAAATAATTTGTCCGGGCAAGTTAGTGATATAAATGGACATAATAAATTGATGGAGCATTAGAACAGCGCACAATTTGGCATTTTCTATTTCGAAATTGAAATACAAATTGTAAAAGAGCTATAAAATACATTATACATCCATTTTTTATACTTTAAACAGTACTATGACATATAAGAGAACCTCATGAACAACATATCTCATTTTCAGCATTCGAATCAAAACTTCGTTTATTGACATTAACTTTGTCATTTCAACTGCTGAAAAACAATACAATTCAATTGGCTGGCTACCTTTAAAAAGCCCTAAGACGACTGAACCAGTCAGCCTGGCTGTTATTTGGCGTCCAAATCTTTTATAGTGGAAGAAATCGTACTCAAGTTTGGATGCCCTAAAGAAATTATTACAGATCGTGGTGCAAATTTTATGTCAAAAGTGTTACAACAGTATACAACTCTGATTAGAACCAAACATGGCTTTACTAGTGCTTTCCGTCCTCGTTCCCATTCCAAATGTGAAAGGTTTAATCAGACATTCAAGAACATGCTGATCAAATATGCTCATGGTGCCGTACACTCTTGGGATGATTATGTTGACAAGGCTATCTTCGCTTGCAGGATTAGGAAACATGATACAACTGGATACAGCCCCTTTTATCTGGTTTATGGTGTCCACCCTCAGATTCCTGGTGATACAAGTAGACCTTTTATCAATAACCTAACAGAAGACAATCCTGAACTGCTTGGTGAAAATGCGATGGCTCACATGAGACAACTCCGTGAAGCTCGTAATACAGCAACTGAAGAAATGAAGAAGCAAGCTTTACGTGACAAAGACAAATGGGATGCTGCTATGGGATCAAGAAGCACACAAATCTTTAGTGAAGGCGATTATTTTCTGCTCCGACAAGAAAACAAGCGTGGATTGGAATATAACTGGATGGGTCCATACAAAGTCATTAACCGTAACCTTGACTTCAATACATACAAGATTGAGGAAGTCGATGGAAAAATATACAGTTCTTGGGTACATACCGACCGTTTGAAGGCTGTCAAGACTATTGATAATCATATAAATGACTCTTGGTACATTCCTCGTGCTGCCCGTTCTGCTGATACTACTAACTAATAATGGATACGGTGCTTTATGATCTATCTTCTGGGTTCTATATCGAATGTTTTCGGCCAATGGTGCTTCTGGTTGATCGAGGACTATCAACGTTTTGAAGAGGGGGTGTTGTCGCCTATATTTTATCAGGTTATACAAATACTGCTTATTAAGAAATGACATAGCAATAATTATCAATCAAATCAGGTGGATCATTAGCAATCAAAAGAACACACGCAATATTATAAATCACAGAACATACAAAAGATTATAAAGCAACTAACATATACACTCTATACATTATCTGACTAAGAAGCTGTCATACTTCTTATTATTAATCATAACTTAGCCCTTTGTAAAAACATATAAATACCCATCTTCTTTTATTCAATAAACGATATATAGTTTTACCTATCACTTATATAACAAGTACCTTACATACAAAACTTATAACCACCTATTGTCGTCTAATTGTTATAAAATGTCTTAATAAGGAAACTGATCGCAGCGACTATATTTTTGACGCAGTAAACTACATGTCCTTGTCAAGACGCAGCATTCTCCAAGACATATCATTATCATCCAAGTCGCAGTATACATTATCCATTATAGCTAGTTAAATGCTCTGACGATCATTTGCAAAAAAACATATAAATATCAATTAGTTGTATTCAATAAAACATGATCTTATTATCTATCCTATATTCCAAAAAGTCGACTCTTTAATTATCTAATCTTTAACTACCCACCAAGAAGGTGAAACTATTAAGAAAGGTGACAATAAGATGCAAGAGCGGTTTTCGAAAAAAACTTACGACCCTCTATTAATAAAGGTGGCAAGATTGAGGAAATAGATTGAGAAAAGAGGATTCCGTGATTCGAACACGGGACCTAAAGATTTGCAATCTTTCGCTACTACCGCTGAGCTAAACCCTCTATTGATGATTGTAAATCAGGTAACTGATCACCAGACAGATAGTAAACCGGGGATACACCCAAAGAGAGTACTAATTTACTTAGTAGTAAAACTAAGAGAGAAGTAGTTGTTAAGTTGATAAAGAATAATGTTTATTGAATAATAATTGTGGTATATTTATATGTTTTCTGAGATATTAAGTCAACTAGATAAAATGGGATTGTGCTATGGGAATTTAACTAAATATAAGATAATACAAATTATATAATGCTGAGCAATGACAATGTGATGCATCATGACTTCTGAGACTACTGATGGAAACAATGTATTGTATAAAAGACTATGAACATGTTGATAAGGCTTATGACTTGATCATTAGACAATGGGAGTTTTTAGCAATGGTGATTATGGTATCGACAGGCGTTGGAATATACAATTCAGCTTGGGACGTGATCTCTTCTGATTAATTGGTTTTGTAGGTGTAAACTTCCTTTTATATTTCTTGGGGCGTTCATAGTATTGTGACACTAATTCCATATCCGATGGCTGTGTACTTGGGGCACTGACATGATGACAGGCTGTAGGCTGAATTGGATGTAAACTTGTTTTGAGTTCAACGTAGTAAGAATAAGAAGTATAGCAGAGATAGTGTCTCTTGATTGGTGTCGATCGTAGTGTTATAAGCAAGGTGTAAGTAGATGAAGCAGTAGTCAGTTTGGCATGGTTTGGTGTACGATATTCTAGGATTGAATAGAGGTGTAGCCGGTTTGCCGGGTGCAGTTCGCACACTAGTTTTGTCTGCCGAAATTGAACACACGACACTTATACCCAACTTTCCAGCACTTAATTAATATATACCATGGATCAAGCTTACTTTATTTTCATTATACCGTTCCCATATTCCCTTACCATTATCCCATTACCCCCTTTCCCTCTTCATCCTATTATCAATGTTTCATTTCTACCATTTACCATCCTTTACCCGTTATAATTCTACCATTCGCGTTGTATCCTTGGATCGTGTACCTTGATCTATCTTAGTGATTGGTGTATGATCCAGGATTACATTCTATAGTTTATCCATTTGTTGAATTCTGTAAAGATATAAAAGGGGATCATTTTCCTATGAAATAAAGAAGAACTTTAATCTCGAACATAACCTTTTCTATAAGTTTGTTATTTCCGTTTCTCATATCTTCTGGTGCCAATTAATTCGAAGTAGGTTTTTTTCAGTCGGCCTTAGTTCTCTTATTGTTTTAAAGTAAAGAGTGATTAACTAAATATACTCTCTTACCCTGTCTAGTTGGTCTATTCTCCTTATCGTTCCCAACTGCTTCTCTTTACTTACTACCCTCAACTACCGTACATCTCAATGATGTGTCAATTCGCAGGTAACCCAAAGCTTAATTGTAGTGTAATCAGAATCCAAAATCTATCTTTTCATACACGGATTAAAAGATACTATAAGCCAAATGTAACAGTAATTTAAGAGTTAAGAAGATGATGTTTATTGTATGCATTTTGATGCATATTTATATAAAATGAATAAAAGATATGATATGATTTGAATAGAGGATAATTAATAATACAAGTGTGATATAATAACATATGAAGGATAGAAGATGATGAAAATAAAATATAGAGTGGATAGAGTATACGAGAATATCATGATCATAGAGAAGTGTGTAAGAATAATATGAAAATCATGATAATAAGAAGAAGAATAATCTACATAGAAAAGAATCAAGTGAAGAAGAAACTAATGGAAAGCATGAGATATAAGGTGTCAGAAGGATAAATATATGGAAGGCAGTTCATACGGATGATTGTCAAAAATGGGATCAGTGTTCAATGTTACGCCTCGAACGCTTATTGGCTGGAGCTTTTGGCTTGAATCTACGCTTATTCACTCTTGGCGGCACATGAGGGAACAGGGTTTCTATATAGGGACTTGCTGTGTAATCCACACCGACAGATGTGTAAAATCCTTAGTAGACCAAGACCAGATAGAAATAATTGTATAACCAAGATACTTCTTTTAATAGCAATTAAAAGAATACACGTAAAGTGAAGTTTTATAGTAAAGATAAGATGAAGTTTATTTCCTATGCAATTTCATTGCATATTTATATGTTTTTGAGATATGAATATAAGATGATATTTACATAGAGGAATTAAGGGATAGAATATGATAGAGAATATAAATAGTAAAGGAAGTATGAATGATGAATAATACATAGTGAATAGAATATACGATAGAAAATAATATGAAAGTAATATGATAGAACAATGGGATAATTATAAGAAAAGAATCTAACACCAAGGAATCAGATGAAGGGGAGCCAGAAGGATAGTCAGGATATCTACTTGTTGTTCATATGAAGAGCTGTCAAATATGGTATCGTTGTAATACTGCATTCTAATTGGTCGGAGGATTGGGTCTAGGTTTTGCACGTTTATTCGCTGGTATTCTAGGCTTGAATTTTCGCTTATTTAATCGCACAGGCACGTGTGGCCACATGTGCCTGTGAGAATCAACAAGAGAAAGTTCAAGCCAAAGATACCAGCCAATAGGCGTGCAAGAAGAAAGATCACACAATGATACTTTTTATGTTAGCCATGCTTATGAACATGCTTACCATAATCTGCATATGTTCATATTCTTTTCTCTTGGTTTTCTTCTACCCAAACATTCTTCCTTGTGCAACCACTACTTCCATCGTTATATTTATCCATTATCATATTATTCTATACTATTCACTATGCCTGAGATTACCGCGGAAATTCGCGATCACCACGTTGATTCCGTGGTACCAGTTGATTTGTAACCAAGAAACCAATTGTAATAAACTATATGAATATGGGGGGACATGACTATATCACTGCCAAAATATCGAGGTATTAATATAGTGTTCAGAATGAGATATACGGTAGTTATAGCTATATATATGAAGTCTGTGAAGTTTCAGGTAATGAAAATGGATTTTTCATTGTATTTTGGGAAGTTTGGTAACCTCTGAATAATCCCAAAATAAAAACCTGTGCAAATAGGTTGGAATTATTGCAATTTATTGTAAATACAGCACTTTTAATATTTCTATCCATTTTTCAATTCCCCTATTTGGGTGTTAAATGAAATTATTTATTTATAAAAGAAAAAAAAATATATTTTAATTTCAACTCCCCCTTCTTTACCCCAAATTCATCATCTAGCCAAAAGTTTGACAATAGCCAAAGCTAAAGCCAACATGACTAGAAAAAAAGTCCTGGCAAAAGCGAACTAGATGCAATGCGGTGTACTGACTTCTTCCCAACAGAATTCCACTGACAACCATGAAGTACACCTGTAAGTGGCGTAAACAACAAACAATGTGAGCTGGTTACTTACATCAGATCTCTTTGTAGTGCTACCCTATACAATGAAGTTCCAGTGTCTTTTTCACCTCTTCCAGGCTCATCTCTTATGTATGGTATGTATCTCCGTTCTATATTACAACAGTAAATTGTGATAGCCTGTCTCCTTTTCAGATAATCTATCTCTTGCTATGAAGTTTGCTTGAAAGTAAATGACATAACGTACTCAGATCAAGTTCTTTACACTTTCTTCTGTATTTAGCTTCTTTCTATCCAACCAAGTCACTGCAATATATGATGGTGAGACTTTTTTGTCTGTGGTAAGTATTTAATGTGTTAACTAGTATATAGTATAATAACATTATGTCTTATAGTAAATGTATCACTATGAGTAAAAATGATGAGGATGTAAGTAGTCACCATGTAGTCGATATTATCGGATCACTAATAGTACTTCTTTATGATATAGTATAGGCAATACAGTTCTTTAAAGTCTATGATCTCTATCCACTACAATAGTCATTGCTTCTACCATCAATCTATTATATCATACAATGATTTCTAGGTCTATCTAAAGCAATATACCATGTCCACAATACTTCTTATTCTTTCTATTCCCAATAAATATGGTTTTTAGTCTTCCAATAGATTTTTATAGCTTTTATTTAATATAATAGTTTTTTCTATTCATAATAAAATTAAACTCAATACGCTTTTGATACAATAATAACTATAATATAATCGTCTGTTTAATAATGATATACCAATGAGCAGTTAGATAGAAGATGTACTTATAACTTAGTTTGGAAACAAAATCACATGACCCAACCAATTAAGCGTTGTATATAACTATTAAATATAAGGATCTTTAAATGGGCAGTATAAAGACGGGACTCAACAGAAGGAGAGAGTTTATTAAGTATAATTGAATTCAGTTTATATAGTGACAGTATAAGTGATTATAACTGCACAGGTTTCAGAGTAATTGAGTGACTATCTGAGTAAGGACTGCTAAGATGGCTTGTATGGATGTCTGTATACAACAATAACTGCGGTTTCTCTAGATTTCCGGCAAAAATCTTGCTTATTCCGTGGTTTTCTATAGTTCAAAAAACGAGGAAATATCCTTTTAACCACGGAATCGACGCTGTGGTTCCAGGCGTAGTGATTGTACTATCTTATTCTATATCACATCATTCTATCCATTTCTATGCAGTCATTATTATATTCTATTACTCATCAACTTGTATCAATATCATCTTATATTTTATATTCGAAAACATATAAATATGCATTGAATTGCATAGAAAATAAACTCATTAACTTACTACCCTTTAGTTGAAATCTCTATATACTTTTCCTGTCATTGAACTTCTAAACATAAAGAAGTCACTGCTGTTATCTATCTTAATTGTTGTATACAGACATCCATACAAGCCATCTTAGCAGTCCTTACTCAGATAGTCACTCAATTACTCTGAAACCTGTGCAGTTATAATCACTTATACTGTCACTATATAAACTGAATTCAATTATACTTAATAAACTCTCTCCTTCTGTTGAGTCCCGTCTTTATACTGTCCATTTAAAGATCCTTATATTTAATATTTTTTTTGACGAGTTCTCTTAAACAAATCAATATCATAATATGTCACTAAATAATATT